GGCTTCGGGCTAAGTTTACTCTCCTATTTAGAGTTAGCGAAACTTTTTACAAGCATCTTGGAAATGTTTTCCAAAAGGTTCAGACGAACGAAGGCAAAAATTTGAAGTACATCCCACTACCGTCACTTCCGCATCGCTCTCTAGGACCCGTTAGGATCGAGAAGATCCATATCCACTTATTTCCCCACTCCAGGAGTTCCACCTGCCCCTCCACAAGCCAATAAAACCTTCGCCCGGGGTAGTCGGGGTAGGACCGCGAAATTTTTGATGAAATTCGCCGAAGCGCAATTTTTTGCGAGCATCGGGAGCGGGGGCAAGTGTAGTGTGGCGCGGGCGCCCAAAAATTTTACGGTGGCCCGGGCGGGGTCGAGCTGGGCTTATTGGGGGTAGCAATGCCAAAAATAGGACAATAGCATCGGTCGGCAGAGGGGGAGGGATCGAAACACGGATTTCATTAAGGGGATGGCCGATTTGGGGTCAGTCGGCCACGGGTTTTGGGTTAAATCGGGGTTTGGTAAATATTGTCTAGGGCTAGAGGGGCTGGCAAAGCGTCAAAAATTCGATCGTGAAAGGCTATGGACTGGAATAGACTTGCGTCGACTCCAGGCCGAAGCCTAAGCCTAAGCTAGCCTAATCCTAAGCCTAAACCAAAGCCCAAGCCAACGTTGCAGCCTAAGCGCAAGCCTAAGCCTACGCATAAGTTTAACCCTATACCTAAGCCTACCCTAAGTGTGAGCCAGGACCTATAGCTTGGGCCTAGACCAAGCCTAAGTCAAGCCTAAACTTCTGCCCAAGCGTAGGTCTGAACAAACGTCTAAATTCCGAATTCACTTTTATGCTACAAGACAATAGCCAGAATTGACAGTATTTAGTTCGCATAGTCAAGCCAAAAAATAGGCTATACTCTAACTCTTCCAAAACTCGTTAAAGCACTTTTTTATTCGGTAACTAGACTCCCCTAGCCCCTCAAAAACAACGCACTACCGTATCCCCCACCCATCCGAAGGCTTTTTTGCAGCCACCAAAAAACCCCGGGAGCGCAATTTGTGGATGCGTGGGGTGTAGAGTGAAGCGGCGCCCCTTGTTGACAATTCGTACTCGACGATTCCCCGAAATTGGACGAGCACCCGTCCCAGTTTTTTTGCACACAAATCGTCGGCTGCAGGGTTGGGGCGCTTTTGCTGTTGTAATATTAAAAAAGGGCGCAAATCCCGCTGAATTATGGCGTGTGTGGGTCCGAAAATGGAAACTGGAAAGTGGGGTGTTCGGGGGAAAGCTGGTGGAAAGTCGAAAAGTCATGTGAATGGACAAAAGCGAATGTTTTAAAGGTATTTGGAAGGTAAGTATCTAAAAATAAAAATGGCGATTCGCGGAACAATGCATTACGATAGGAAACCATGGTAGAGGGCTGAAAGCGGCCAAGCGAAGTGATTGCAACCAACTTATTAGGCCTGTCGTTGCGTTTTAAAGGGATTCGGAAGCCAGGAATGTGTGTGTTTCCAAGTGTGTCCTAGCGTTGAGAGTAACCAATTGCCATAAGCATTTCTTAGAGATGTGTAGAATTGCGTGGCTATCGCGTGGATGTCGAGAAAGTAAGTAAAATATTTTCAAATTTCTACGCTGCGTGCCGTCTGGACCTTTTAACGTTCTATCATGAATGCGTGGACTTTAGGATACGTACAAAAATGGTAGGATAATTCTTAAAACGTCCGAAAAATTGAGTTTAAATGTTAAAAAACAGGATTTTCACATTTTTAAGGGATAGTGACCGAAATTTACGATCGAAGCAGAGCAACAGGCATCTGACAAGCAATAAAATATATTAACGTAGCCTAAGGTCAGTTTTTATCACTACCGGAAGCCCAGAGAGTGTATCTTGGCGACGAAGCATCCAGCTAACGGCATAAAACGTTTAATAAAAACAAAGCGAATTTTCAGATTTTAAATGGGTCTGGCCAGCAATTTTTGGCCAAAGCAATTCAAAATAACCATCAGAAAAACGATAAGAATGATATTAACATATCGTAACTCCGTTTCATCACCATCTAGAGCCCATAGAGTTTATTAGTCAGGGCCGGAATGGCGAGTCGCACGTGCCCTAGGGGACCCTCTGCATTCGACAACCCTTCCCCCATGGCATCCCTCTTTTTTGGGCTGAAGAAATGGAGACGCCCGGGGGTGCGGATTAATCGAGTTGTAGGGACCCACAAAAGCCTCTTCGAATGGCCCAGTCTTTGGACTCATTTTCCCCTTTGAAGCTGCGAAAGGATGTGTTCGTTCGGGGTATCGACACGGACACAGAATTCTGGCTGCATGGTGCCGGATTCTGGGGTCTCTAGCAGAAGAATTTGGGGAATTCTACTTTTCAAAATTTGGGACTAGATAGTGTATTTTTAGATTATTCGAAACTTTAGAAGTGGGCAAGCTGCGAAGAATTTTGATGAATTTAAACCCAGGAAACTTTCGCGTATGTGATTAGCGGATACTTTCTATCCAGGGCAAACTAGCCTATAATAGATTGAATGCCACGGCCGTGAGATGTTCTAAAAATTAGCGTGGGCAAGCTAGCAAAATACTTTATTGAATTCGCAGACATCGAATTGCATCAATATATTAAACTAAATTATAATAATTTGCCCTCAACCTAAAAATTCGTTTAGGTTAAATTTATTGCGGACTGGCATAAAAATTTCCATGTTTCGCCATCGGGCTTAAAGTCATGTCACGTCAGTCAATAAGGAAATTCCAGCATATTTACCGCCGGCAGCCCAACGACAAAATAAAGTCCCGTGTCCTTTAATTCGCGGGTATTCCGCCTTTTAGTTCGTATCCCATCACTACCCTACCCAACCGAACGGCTCTGGAGACAATTTACCCGAAGGGCATATATAAAAGAGCAGAGAGTAGATGAGGTGCTGCCACAGGGTGGGGCACTCAGAAATTCATGGCATTGCCCTTAATCCTCCACGAAATGCAGCCGTCAACAAGGAGTCAGACGGAACCCCTAAGGAAAGTGTTAAGCATTTCATTTCCTTGGTGGGGAGGTGGGGGCTTTAGCTTTAGGGTAGGGATGATAGAAAAGCAATAAGGAAGGAAACGCGTTCTTAAAAGATTTGCCGAATCAGAAATAATTAATAAAATCCAGATACAGTAGGCTTTGCCTTATACATACCCTTACGCTTAGACTTCAGCTAGGCTTATGCTTAAATTTATACCAAGGCCTCGGCTTAGGCTTCGGCTTAGGCTGCGGCTTAGGCTTCGGCTTAGGCTTCGCCTTAGGCTTCGGCTGAGGCTTCGGCTTAGGCTTCGGCTTAGGCTTCGGCTTAGGCTTCGGCTTAGGCTTCGGCTTAGGCTTCGGCTTAGGCTTCGGCTTAGGCTTCGGCTTAGGCTTCGGCGTACGCTTAGGCTTCGGCTTAGGATAGGCTGAGGCTGAGGCTTGGTCTCAGGCTTAGGTTTAGGCCTAGGCTTAGGCTTGGGCATAGGCTTAGATTTAGGCTTCAGCTTAGGCTTAGCGTAAACCTAAGCTTCCTGCTCCCAGCAGTGCCGTCTCGGCACCTCCCGACTTCCGTGTTTCCTTTTCCACGCACATAAAGCCCCCAGAATCCATCAGTGATGATGTGGTGTCGTGCCCGTCGGGAACCTTGGATTTAATAACCTCATCCTGAGGGCCCCCTGTGGAAGGGTTCGTTTACTTACGGCATAGCCTGAGGGCTTATGGGCACACGTGGGTGCTGAAAAATCCCGGAAATCTCAATAGAATTTGAACCGATTTGGAAATGGGGGTTATAATGCCAATATGTGTTTTGGGTCTTCCCTAGAAGCAAAAAATAGCAGTATAAATATTCTTAGGGAACTGTTATCGGTTAATTTTGCTTTGCGAAGGCTTGAAATCGGCCCTAACAATTTTTGTAAAGCTTGTAATTCAGTTTGTAAGGCTGATTTTTCTAAATAATTACTCCGATGCGTGCGTTTTTCTCACCCTTTCTCTATCTCTCTCATTCTCTCTCTCTCCCTCTCGCTCTCTCGCTCTCACGCTCTCTGACGTTTTTCTAAAATGTTTTAATGTGCGAAACTTGAAAAATATTTTATTGCCATACAGCCACAAAAAAAATTACATAAAAAAATTAAGTGTCAGGAATTCGTTAGAAGAATACCGTGTTGATTAAAAATTGAAGGTAGGGTTCCTCGGAACCTTCTGGCGTTGTGACATCGCAAAAAAATGCAAACATGGAAGCGGTATCTAGCCATTAACGGCAGGGGGGAAGGGACAACCCGAAGAAAATATCCTGAACAAAACAAAAACGTGTCATTTAACGGATGAAAGGGACGTGGAAGGCTCGTTTGATGTGGGAAGTGAAAGTTCGGAAATGAGCTGTAGTCAAGGGGGAAGGCAGTATGATAAGTGGATAGCTGAGAAAAATAGACAAAAAAGGATTGGGGGAGTACGGTAGTTTTTGATGGTATAACCATAATCTCTGTATGTTAAGAACTACGGCACTCCTCCCAAAGCGAGCTAGTCGGGTTTTTTGCCGCTTTAAAACTAGTCTAAAGGTCGGGCCCTACCGTAACCCAAATAGCGCCGCGATTTTGGTCATTTTCCAAGTTGCGACGAGACGCAAGTACGAAAAAATAAAGCTTGCTTGCTTATTGCACTTTAGAAAAAAGGGGTTGAGGATCAGGGAAGAGCTGAAATCTAGATGACCTTCTCGGAGATACCTTACGATACGGACAATCGGAAGCCAGCGAATTGGAGGCTAGTATGCGGGTTTTTGTTGTGAAAATTAAAGGGTCCTGGAAGGCAGAATTTCGGCGCACAAATTCGAGGAAATATCGGTTTTAAATTCCAAAACCCTTTAAAAGTAGCCATTTGGGATCAAAGACCCGGACAGAATGTAGCAAAGGAGGGGAAAGTGAGCGGATCAGTGGAGTTCTTTCTGAAGCTGGACGGCTTCAATTTTATGAGCTTCGGCTTTGGCTTAGGCTCAGGCGATCATCATCTATGGGAGCATGGGCTGCTTGACAAAGTCGGGCTCGTTGAGGCCGAGCTTTCCGGTGGGGTACAGCTCCTCGCGGATGCCATCGTCAAGGCCGGGCGATGTTGTCTTTGTCGAATGCTCGCCAAAGTTTCCGGGAACGGATTGGAGCTGAAATTGTGATTTTAAAAAAACGTAACAAGTTACAAATTTGGAAGACACGAAAACATCCTTTTTAAAGATTTTTCTGGCACGCAACTTTTTTGAAAGCCCAACTTTTGTTGCTTTGACATTTCAAGCACAAAAGTTTCGTGTTATTGGCTATGGAATCAGAGTTTTTGACTCTTTTAGCGTAGTTCTTGTACTGTATCGGACCGTAGTCGGAGCTACTTAATTTTTTAGCTAACCTCCTGGAAATAGTCAGTAAACAGCTGCTGGGACAATTCCCTGGCCACAATGGCTCCGGCGTGTCCTTCCACGAAACGCAGCAGCAGGACCCCATCTAAAAATTTTAAAATAAGCTTTATTAATTGAAAAAATCATTTTAGGTGATTTTCATTGCCATGGGATTGTTTTGGAGCAAATAACCTAATTTTAGATGCATAATAATCTCGGATTAAGATCACATGGAAAACATTATACCCAGATTAACGTGAAGTACATGTCAAAAGTATTTTGGATGCGGAAGCGGATTAAGCTGATGGCAAACTACAATTTTTACACTTACCGGGCTTCAGTCCACGCTCCACGAAGCTGCTAATGACACGAGATCGGTTGTAGTGGTCGGGGTGGTCGCCCTTCGTCTCGTTCAACCAACTGGAAGAATGAATTATTTCATTTTTAAAAAATCGATAAATCTTTACTATCTTGATACTGCTAGCAATGTACACCTACCGCTTGCAGTTGTTGACCCTTGACCTGGCCGGGAGAAGCTGGAAGCAGCAGTAGAAGAAGTTGATGACGGTCGAGACCATGACGAACAGGAACCAGAACCTGAAAAGTGAATGTTAGAGTAAGGGAGAGAGAGAGAGAGAGAAAGAGAGAGAGAGAGAGAGAGAGAGAGAGAGAGAGAGAGAGAGAAAGAGAAAGAGAGCGAGAGCCAGATAGAGAGAGAAACGCTCGCATTGACACCCACCACAAGAAGAGGTAGATCTTCTCGTTGAACATGTTGATCATCAACACGCATTGGACGGTGTAGCGATGGATGTTGGCCAATCGGCGGACCTTGAAGTCGCAGAGGGTCACACGCGGGAAGACACCGCTCTCGAGCCATTGGCGACCGCTCATCAGATCCATGAACGTCTAAAAATGCCATTTTTTAGAAATATTCTGAAGAAGTTGTCTACCTGAAAACCCCAGAAGTGGTAGTCGGATCCCAGGAACGTGTTCAGCAAGTAGAACTGGAGGAAGATGTTCAGAACATAGAGGAACTTGACGAAGAGGTAGAGCGTCGCAACGAATTTGCCGCCACCATGACCGACGCTGAAATTTAGTCGTAGGACGTGATCTCTTTGTATCTCTCTCCCCGCTCTCTCTCTCTCTCTCTCTCTCGCTCTCTCTCGTTCCCCCTTACTTGAAACACATGAATCGGAAGGGCGACTTGTAGGCCTGCTTGAACTCGAGGGCATCAATCAGGTAGTCGCACAGCTTGACGGTTTCCTGCTTGCGCTCGGCGTGGCTGAGAGATCGCAACTTCTGGGCGTCAGAGACTGCCATCGACATGTCGATGCCGCTCTGCTGGTGCATCGTCTTCCAGATCCAGCTGGGGATGAAGAACATGATGGCTTGAAGGGCAAGCATGATCGGCACCCATTGGTAGTAGCCGATTTGGGCCTGGAAAGGGGTTGGTTATAATCGTTTGGTTTAGGTTTGGCTTGCGCTTAGGCTTAAGCTTAGGTTTGGGCTTAGGTTAAGGTTTAGGCTGAGGCTTCTTGAGCTTAGGTTTAGGCTCAGGGTCAGGCTTCGTCAAATCCTTACCTCTTCTCTAGCTTCAGTATCCTGAGGAATCTCCTCATGGAAAGGGATGAAGAAGGTGTTCTGGATGAAGCAGTAATCTTCTGCGTACTGTTCCCAGCCACCCTTGAACTCCATGGGCATCCAGCATTGAATGGGGGCTCCGACGTACCTGAATTTTTCGAGGTTTTACCGTCTCTCTCTCTCTCTCTCTCTTTCTCTCGTTATCATTGAAAACATACTGCTTAGCCGACACCATCACGGCAAAGAAGGCCAGCAGGGTTGCCGTGACAAAATAATTAAGACGGTCGACGGGATCGTCGAATGCCGTCGGACGAAACCATTTCGTGATCGCATCATCGAGGAATGGAATGCCTAGCATCCTTCCTAGAATTGATTACATATTAAAGAGCACCTTCAGTTATCAAATAAAAGATGAAAACATGCATAAGAAGTTCGAAAAGATCCAAAATCAAAACTGACAAAAAATAGGTCTAGCGTCTGATGGTATCGCACTAATCCAATACAACATATTAATACAAAATTCAAATTTGCCACAATGGTGGGAGGGCGAGAATTGATGCAGGGATTGCATACTGGGGTGCTGCGTGCGACCATTCAGTTTGGAGTGCCTTTGACATCTGGTGTGGGGTGGTGACCGGCTGGGGTTCCGGCGGGGAGAACGGGCCACAGCGGGTACCCCGGTCCGGGCGGTGGAGAAAAGGGGTTAGAAATGTGCCAAATTTTATGGGAATGAGGAGTGGTCAAAATTAGGCTTGGACTTAGGCTTTGGCTGAGTTGTAGCTCAGGCTTAGGCTTAAGTTTAGTCTTATGCTTAGGCTTAGGCTTAGGCTTAGGTCATGCAAGGTTCCGGGCTTAGGCTTAGGCTTATTGTTAGGCATAGGTTTGTTATTGGTCTTCGACTTGGCCAGAGCTTAGGCTTAGGCTTAGGCTTGGTGTCTAATATCAGCCACACCACCGCTAATTAAAGTTCTAGCGACTGAAAAACCTATACCCCCATGCCATTCCTACCCAAAATTCGATCCAGTTTTTTACGACCTACCCCCTAACCACTACCCATGCTGTGGAACGCGCCAGGCTTGAGCCCGAATCATCGATATTCGCGCTGACAGGTAGCCACCCGGGTCGATCATGTTATTGGTGGAGACAGTGAAGCCAGAGGGCCAGCCAGGCGCCCGCCGCTCACTTTGTATTCAAGAGCATCTCCATCGATTCGCGAAACATGAATCAGGGTGGTAAGAAGCCCGGGGGTGAGGAGTGGGTGCTACTGTACGAGGGATGGGGAAACATATCAACATCGATGAATAATCGTGTTTCTCAAGCTTCACTTTAGAGCGGCCGGAAATGAGGTGTAATAGTGGGCGGTGATAGTGATTAATATAATGAAAACATGTTAGAGTTAAAATTCAAATCAAGGCGGGGATTCTAAAGAAACGCTAAAAGGAAAGCAGGTTTACCGAAAATTTACCTTTAAATTTTCATAGGTTAAGGTATAGCTTTTAAGAAAATTCCGGCGAGAGCGTGAGCAGGAGCAAGAGGTAGAAAGCGATAGAGAGATAGAGAAAGAGAGAGATAGAGAGAGAGACCGAGAGAGAGAGACCCAGAAAACCCTCTGATTAGAGTTAGCGATATGTATCTTGGCTAATCTGATAAAGTAGGAACGTGAGATTGTGCGACTGATAGATACCACGAGGTCAACAGTTACTACAGAATCGAAAATAATTCTGCATTAACCGCAACCATGCCAAATTTCAGTTGCGCTGACCCCCATAGTGATCACGACAGCCACGACAAAAAGAAAGTCGAATTTATTGGCCGCTGGCGAGTCAAGGCCGCGCTACCCGACTTTCTCGTCGCGGCTTTTTTGAAAACTAGAGAACTGTGGGCGGAGATTTGTGGGCGATTACTCTGGGTAAATCCGTCTGCTAGGCCGATCTGGCCCCTTGGGGATCCATTTCGACATTGGGATGTACTCAATGAGGAAACCCGCTGCAAAAAATGGGCTTGGAGGACGGTATTGACGCTTTGGGGGTCGCGCGCCGGATCCGATTGGCATAAACAAATTTCGGGATTTCGATAAACAAAGGATGGTTGCGGAGAGGAGAAAACGGAGGTTTTATATATTAAAAAGCAAGAGGTAGAGAAAACGAGAGAGAGAGAGAGAGAGAGAGAGAGAGAGAGAGAGAGATAACCGCTCAAAATCGCGCCTTTCTTGTTAGCAGAGACACAAATTCTAGAGCTACAGTAAGTCGCCAGGCTTCATCTTATGGTTGTGAGGCATCTAAAGCATGGCCAAGTGACAAACGCGAGTTCAAAAAATCTACATGACCTTTAACGGTATCCATGGTCAAAGAGCGAAAGTGGTGCTAATGGTGCGCGGCGACCCGTGGAGGCGGAGAGCCGCTGCCGGCGACGCCAGATGCGAAGCAGAAGGGACGAGAGAGCATGGAGAACGAGGCGACCCATAGAAAGACAGTGTCTAGACACCAGGACGCTGTGGAGGACACAGACACAATGGCAGGGTACGAGATATTGTAGTACCCTGGGGGTACGTGTGGGCGGTGTTCGGGCCCAGCCGTGACCCTTGGGGTGCCCCCAGGGGTCATCATTGATTTCTGCACCCCATCCACGCGAAGAACGACCGTTCTCAGGCCCGGGGTCGGACAGACAGAGAGAGGAGCGTCTGTCCGTTGCGTCATCCACCATTCCATTATCGCGTTGAGAGGGATATCTGGAGGATTTTTGTTATTTGAGGGTACTCCAGTGTCTAAGGGTGTTGGGTTATACGGTGTGAGGTCTGTGGAAAAGGAAATATCCGGTTGAAACTATGATTCGAAAGATACCACCTATAAGGTAGATTACATTTAAAGATGGGGGCGGAATTTGAAACTCAAAAAACCTCGCGAAATTGCGGGAAGTTATCGATATTCTTGGCGCAAAATTACTTACTGACCTTGTTATCTATGAGGCCAGATGCGCTTGTTAAGGAATTCAAATTCCTTTTGCATCCTTGCCAACCTTGACGCATTAATGAATGGCAAGTCAGGCATCTGCTACTTTGCATGATCAAATTCCAAGCAGTCGACTTGTTGCCATCTGTCAGGATAATTCACTTTGAAGAGGGAGAGAGAGAGAGAGAGAGAGAGAGAGCGAGATGGAGAGGGAGCGAGATGGAGAGGGAGAGCAGGAGAGAACGTCATTATAGATATAACGAGACACCCAACTAAATACTCTACTATATTCACCTAGCCGCTCCTAACCCCTAGGAAAAGTCAGCCCCTCGCCCCCAAATGTTAGCGCCCAGACACCATGCCCTTTTAATGGGGTGCCCCGAATGTCATTTGAATACGAGGGGTAAGGGATGGGCCGTGTGAAGGTGGCCGGAAAAACGGCAATCGGCATCCCAAAAAAATGGACCGTCTAGGCGAGGCACAGTTTTTGGGAGCAGGGGCCTGCGCGCAGCTGCGTCGTTTGCACGTCCCCGCACCTTTCGAACAAAGATGTGAGCGTTCCGAATTGCAATCGGGAGAGGAGGGCGTGTTTTTTAGCCAGAGACAGGACAATTGTATTATCAATTTGAAGAATTCGCAACATGCAAAGTGTTCGATGTTTCGTCTTATTCAGGATGGATGAATTACGTAATTTAGTAACAGTATCCCGTGTTGCGGTCGCGGCGCGGCATAGGTTACATCCGCGACACGCAACGCGCACGCGTCGCGTGTAGCGAACGTACTTACCAAACTACCAAAAGTACGATCTAGCTACCCTGATGCAGAAAACACAGCTCAACAACAACCGACAACACCCCAAAGATTGGCACTGTCTACACGACCCTGGTGTCCTCCTCCCCGCAAGAAGGGATTTGGGATTAGCACGCTTGGGTGGGCACATCGCCGTCGAGGTCAATATGGTGGACCTTGGTAGGAAAGAGAGAGGGAGCTTGAGAAGGAATCATATATTAGAGCCCCACTCCCATCTGTCAATGGTCATTAAATTTTGACAAATTATGCGCGAGGGCGGAGAGGGGGGGTAGGGTGCAAATGGAAATTGGATGTTTGTGAGGTATACTTTTGGTTAATGAGGCCGGTGGGGGAGCATTAATGATAAGTAACGGACGGCTCTTGATTTAGTGAGGTAGCCTATTTTCTGATGTGTTCTGGTCGGTTTTCAAAAAGTTATTGTTATTCTTGGTCTAAAAAATGTCTGAAACAGTTTTGAATCGATCAGACTAACCGGAAAGTGCCTGTTAATCGAAATAACCTTGAAATCGTAAATCGGTGATGTGGTGGAAAGGAGAAAGGGACGAAAAGAAAAGATGCTCCGAACATCCAAAACCTACTACAAAACGGAGAGTGCGAGAGAGAGAGCGAGAGAGAGCGAGAGAGAGAGAGTGAAGAGAGAGACGGACGGAGACGGCGAGATACTCAGACAGAGATAGATAGCGACAAAGCTACCATTAACGAAGTAACAAAAATCCATTCCACCACCTAACCCCTCGCCCAAAAAACTAGATGAACTTCTATTGTCTCGCGACGCATCAGGTTACCTCCACTGAACAGACGACCAGCATCAAAAAGCTGAGACTTCACAGCCCCGGCTGGTTTCTATCGAAAACAAATATAAATTGAGTCTCGACCTTTTGCCGAGTGCTTTTGCGACGCCTAGACGGCATCTTTTATGAGCTGTGACTGTTTGGGTGGGTGTTTGGACGGGTCGCGTTGCTTCGTGTGGCTATCAATGATGGCTTCAGGCGACACGGCCGCTATATATTGGAGAGGTCACCGCAAAAATATAGCAAGGTTGTATGGGAATAACGAAAAAGTCCTTGTCAGTTCCTTTAAAGGTCATAAAAGCGCAGCCATTTTCAAAGCGATCGCCAAAAAGCATAACAAACTTTCAAGGAACTTAAGCTTATGCATAGGCTTAGGCTTAAGCATAGGCTTCGCTGAGGATTAGGACTAGGTTTCGCTTAGGCTTTTCCTAGGTTTGGCTTAGACTTAAACGTAGGCTTCGCTTAGGCTAAGGCGTACACTTAGGTTGGGCTTAGGCTTAGGCTTTAGCTTCGACCTGATAACTTACTTGGCATCCCGCACTAATAGCTGAATTCGCCCTCTATCTTCAACTAGGCATCGAACTACCCTAAAATGGCATGATTTGCATACGTTATACTGCCAGGATTAGCATATGCAAACACGCCTCGGCGTTCGCATATGCTAAATAAGGCGAGATGGAGGTGGTTTGGGAATTGCTTTTGTCTGAGGGGGTGCCTTGATTCATTGCTGTGTAATGCATCGCGGGAGACGTATGGCGCTGATGAATCCACTAGCGTCTTTTTGGCCCGTGCCACCATGTGCCAACGCT